GGTAAAACACGTGAAACTCTTGACAAATACCGATCGTAACGGCGGATGAGTCGCCGTTTCCCGACAAATACAGCTGCGTTTGGTTGAGCCGGGACTCCAAGTCCTGTTTGAGGGACGGGGAGGCCGTGTCCACCGGCAACGGCACCTTGCGATTGGTGATCCAAAAGCTTTTGCCCAAAAATGTGGGCAAATAATCAAATTTGTTGCGCAAGAGTTGGCTCTCGCAGAGGAACACGTGATAGGCTTTGGACAGCCGTTCCTTCGCCTCATATAACTTGTACTCATTCCTCAACTCTCGCATCGGAAGCACTTCTGTCACCAACTGATCCGCACCCGCTTTGGACAGCACTTCCCGGTAATGGTTCTTAGTTTCGGCTAAAAACAGACAATAAATACAAACACACCGTTAGTATCAATGACTGTACTCAATGGGTGATAATCGCAGACTTAGATCCAAATCCCTGTCACTCAACGGCGTCTTCTGGAGGTCTTTGACGATAAGACACGTCTCGTAATCGGCGGACAACTCGTGGCGCCAATGGTTGGGCAAAGAGATGCCGTAAATATACGTCGATTTGTTTAACAGTGTCTTCTTGTGGTTGATCTGCAGTCGTACGACACTGTCCTCGATGTCGGCAAACAGTGGCTTTTTGTCGCCACTCTTGCGCTCGTTATCACCCAATTGGGTCCACTTCTTGAGCGCATCGACACATTGGATCAGTTGGTCGTACGAGACATACGGCGAGTCCTTAGCGGTCGATGACTTCGGCGGTCGACTCGTCACTGGCTTCTTCTTCGACGGCATCGCTTCCGGAGGTAATCGTAATTCGCAGACAATTATCACTGAAAATACTTGCAATGAAGGGATCAATTGAACCACACTTTCAAACAGACTTTTAAAACACACACTGAAAGCATGGCTTTTAACACTACTATCGCACTTCATATACAATGTTACGCTAAATACATGGGTGTGTGTGTGTGTGGAGAGCATTGCCCTTCCCTATGACTACAGCTGTGAATGGGTTGCGTGAGTGTATAGGGGGCACGAAATACCGGCTATTTGTCACGTTATGCGCGTATGAGTCGAGTGTATGCATTGTTAGGCGTGTTGTGCGTCGACTCCTCACGCATTGAATGTGCGGTAAATGAGAGACAAATGCAGTGATTGTGTGATTGTCTGCCAAAACACAAGTCGTGGTGTCTTTGGATCCGTTGCCAACACTATACACACATCCAGTGATTATCAATGGCTCAGGAGTTCGTGGTGCTGCTGTGCTGCCAGTGCCGCACATACCAGGGCTGTCAGTCCAAGAAAGCGACGAAATGGTTGTGCAAAGTCTGCGGCACTAAACAGTCGGTCAAAGAGTTCTTCGGCCGCGGATCAGCTAAAGACTGTCGACTAGTGGTGCAGTCGCTCAACAGTGGTCGACAACAAGACACCGGTGCTGGTGATGGCGGCTACGAGCTGATGGACACCACGAGTGGCGCCAATGATGCCGACTATAAGATACTCGACTATCTGTACCAATCGGATGATAATAGCGATGCCATCGATGGTAAGCGTGTGTTTGGGTAGTGATTGGTTTGACTGATGTGTGGATCTGTTTGACAGACGCGTCGATACCGAAGAAACAGAGGTTGACTGAAGCGGAGGACGAGTCCAAGAGTGCCGCCAATGAGACACCGATTCGGTGGACAACCGCTAATCAACTGTTCAGTCGTGGCGTTAGGAAATGGGGTCATTGTGTCAACTGATGGGCCACTACTAGTGCCGAAGACATTCCTCCGCAGCATCGGTGGTGATACTGACCGACAGAGCCATTGATTACTCTATTTATTGATAACACTTTCACTTCTCATACGAAACTTAAGACTATTTTTGTATAAAAATATTTGTTTTCAGTATTTATTAGATAATAGCGATTGAAATGAACTTTTTTCGCGTATTTTTTAATTGTAATTACATTTAAAATTAGTTTTTTAATTAATACATAACTAAACGATACGTAAAATGCTTATTTTTTCACATTTTTATTGATAGTTATTATCATAAAGCCATTCGTAAAGCCATTAAATGGTAATAAAATTTTATTTGTATTTCTAATGAGTTTTCAAAGTTTTTATACAATTTCGTCATTCATTTAAAGTTTTTTACATTTTGTTTATAAACTAACGCTTTAATTGTAAGTAATTTTTGTTCAGTTAATTAACAGTATTTCCGGCGATAATCAGAGTCTCATTGGTTTTATTCATACGATTCATGAACTGCGGGATCAATCGGTGGCGTTGAGCGCCGGGAGGCACGCCGTCATCATCGGCGAGCGCCTCATTGATGGCCAACACATAGGTTTTGGGCATACCTTTGAGTTTCGCGATGTTTTCAAACTTTTTGCTCAATAAACTAAACTGTTTGGTGTCGTACAGGGGAACGCCTATCGACTGGGAGTACTTCGCCTGTAGTTTCAGTATTTTGAACCAAAACCCATTGATCTCCAGTTCCGACTCGTGTGCATACATCTCGGACTCAATTTGCCTGAATCTGGCCATCAGTTTGTTGTAATCCCTTTCAGCCAACTGGCGGTTGTACTCCTGTTTGAGTCTCGCGTTTAAAAGTCTATTGAAAACAAAGTTTAGTTAAAATTTTTATTATTATTACGACTATTTTCGATGAGTTATTAAAGTGTGGTATAGTTTTTGAAAGTAAAACTTTGTTTAAAATATGTTTTTATAAGTGATTGAAATATATTTTTCTAATGCTATTATGTCGTATCGATTTAGATAGGGTGAGTATGTGTGTACTTAAAGTACCCGGTATATAACTTTGATGTGGTATAATAGCTAAATGTATTCACACTATTAAGGGAATGAAATGATTGTTTTAGTTATTAAGCGGTTTTGTTATAAGTTATGAAACAGTTATTAACAGTAATATAAATGCCACGAAATACTCATTTATTGAGTCCCGAAAAGTTTTTTAACAATTATTTCTCAATCAATGTAACGATTATTATGTATGAAAACGTCTTATCGGGCAATAAATATCTAAATATATTATAGTTTTTGTTTAGTTTTCATACCGAATGACCGGATTTCTGAATCTAATGACATCGACAATGATATACAGGTTTTGCCGCAGTTTTGAACGCGAGGTCGCGATAAATATTTTGAACGAATTGGTCGAAAATATGGTGACAAATGTGTAGACCATTAGAAAAGTGACCGAAACTCCTACGATAGTACCCTCGTGGCCATATATCCAGGGTATTAGCAGTTCAAGATCGTGGATAACCACTACGGCATCGCCGTATTGACTCCGATCAAAGTTGTTGTAATAGTCCACCTCTTGGGTGACCTCTTGGGTGACCTCTGAAGACATTTATAATGTTTAATATCTTGTGAATAATTAAATTAAAAAATATTTTGCTTTATATGCCAATTAAGTATTGAGTGCTATATTAGTGTTTTTAAATTTAATATATTGTATAAAATTAACTCAATTTTTATCCCATATTAACAGTTACTCTATATTTTTGGTGTTTAAAAACTGTTTAAATTTTACACTCATTTTGTTGTTTCGCGTATTAATTACGGACTTATTGTTTGAAATGAGAGACTATTTAATAGTTAGAGCGAGAAGTACTGAAAATATAAAGTTTTATAAATTGAGTTAAAAAAAAGTATTTTAAAACTTAAATATGTTTTGATTCCTAATTTTGGGGTAAATTTTAAGATAAAAAAGTAATTTATTTATGAAAAATTATTTTATATAAGTAGTTACGAAATGGTCGTAAAATTTAATAACAAATTATGATTTTTTTTGGTATGAACTCTAAATCAAGTGAATTATTCTTAAGGTTTTAGTATATTTTTTATGATTATATAAAATGCAAATTGTGTGTTGATTAAAAATGTTTTTTAAAATTTCAAAGTCATTACTATGACATGTAATCAACACTTTTACCCGTAATTCACAAAACACTTATCAAATCATAAGCCAATGATTGAGTCAATTATGTTTGAATAGCAATCAATTCCGTGTATAATATTATCAAACTTTTAATGTATAGCTATTATTACACTTGAAAACTATATGCAATTACTATAACAAAATTTAGCTAAATTACATACAATTTTTGCAAATATATTGTAAACTACTTGTATATATAACTATTATGGCATTAATTTTTTCTATACTTATAACAAAAAAGTGCTGCAAAACAGGGCTCACATTGTCTAACAAGTGATTCAAACAGTAATTTTTCCCAAAAACTTTGCCCAAAAAAGTTGTTTTGAATACAAATGGGTAATGAATTTCATGACCAAAATCCGAGACTAAATTAGAGCCTTCTCTCAACCATTAGCCTAACAATTGTCTAATAGCTCTCTCTCTCTCTCTCTCTCTCTCTCTCTCTCTTCTCTCTCTCTCTCAAGAAAATTAGAAAAAAAGTTTTTTGAAATCTATTCCGAAAGTGCACTCCATTTCTCGGGCTTTCAATCGGCATTGACAGCTCCAACACTCTACATACCTGTCCCCTCTATGTGTGCGAAAACCTATTTATTACTGTTTGATCTCAATTTTAACTTAACATTTCACATCTCAAAACTCGAGGGAAAAGTTTTATTAATGTATTCATTCATTACATGTGTATATATAAAAACTATTTAACATTACGATATACAGTATATTAATACGAATTTTGTTTTGGTATTAAAAATACTTTATATAAAGTCTCACAAACTTGACCTAAAAAATAGTTTGTTTGACAGAAATCGCATCAATTTAGTTTTTTATTATTATATATTTTATGCTAAACTTTTAATATGTGTATCAATAGGGACACCTACCTAACGAAATGAGTTAATCCCCTACGAGTAAAGTCTCTATTACTCCCAAAAATAAGTATTAAAATTATTATATAAAATTGGTGTATTAGGTGGGTTGATGAATACGGTACTGTACTTTTATTTTAGTAATATATTTAGATTATTATATTTTTAATGGCATATAAAATGTGGTTTAAAAGTCTCTCTCTCTCTCTCTCTCTCTCTCTCTCTCTGATTCACAAAATAAGTTATATTTTAAGTATTATTCAAATCCCAACTCATATTAAAAGCATTTAAATTAAAATCTATACTAAAGATAAATATAAGACTTTTATTTATATTTATTTCAAAAGGTTTTATTAAAATTTTCTAAAATATCAATTAAATGCTAATCAATGGGAATGTTTGCTATCATAAAATAAATCTACATTTTAGTTTTCATTATATATAATCAGAAAATTGTATGAAATTTTGCTAAATCATATATGATTGGACATAATATACAAGTAAATTGATTTGAAAAGCAAAAAAAACTAGACTTCCGTAGAAATTAGCTATTGATATATACCTGTAATTGAAAAAAAAGGTTTTTTTTCATTCAATACTAGGAAATGTTTGATAGATTTATATATTTTTTGCTAAATCTTGTTGACAAATGAAATAGCATTTGAAAATCAATTTATATCAATCAACTCCATGCGAAATTGAAACACAAATAAAACTCAACAAGCATTTTTTATATTCACATTTAAATTGATTTCATAGCCCTTTAATGGGTATATATTTTAATTAAACAAAAACATTAATCGTATTCCTATTAAACACATAAAAATCAAAAACATTTTTAATTAAAATTTATGGTAACATATATTTGTATCACCTTACTAAAATAAAAATATATTTTAAACATAAATAAATATGTATTAAATTAAATATTTAATTAAAACACACAAATCAATGACATCAATGAAAATCACTCAATACTTATGTAATCCCTTTCCCCTCCATATAAATAGGTAGGTATTTATAGAAATGGTAAAATATATGTGTTTAAAATGCATTCACAACCAAAACCTATCATTTAATTTGACATAAAAAAAAGTTTTTAAAGAGTTTTTTGTTGAATTGAATTGAATTCAAAAATTCAGCTCTACTTTCAGTTTAATTCAAAATCTAATCTCTGAATTGAATCGTTATATCGTATGGAAAGTAGAGATAAAATTATTTTATTATTTTTACAGAGAGAGAGAGAGAGAGAGAGAGAGAGACTCAGAGATTAAATGCGAAACAAATTTTTGATTATTTAATTAATTCTTGATTTCTGCAAAAGATATTCAATTACTTTAATCCATGGATTCAATACACTATTCGCAGCGAAATTGTTGCCAAAATTAGTCCACAATTTTTATATACGACTTGAAATATATGTAAATTTATTTAGTTATGGTATTTTAGGGTGAGCCCTACAACATATACTGATTTTTTTGGTTAAAAATATACACTTTATGTAGCGTGTATGTATTTAATTTATGCGGTAATATACCTGTATTTTATTCAATAGACTACGATATCATATATATTTAAATATTATCTTAAGTTTGGAAATTAAAATAAATTACTTGTTGTGAATAATTTGGACAAATATTTGTCTCCCTTATGTGTGCCTTATATTTGAAAAACTTTTGCAAAACTTTGTGATATTAATAGACAATTTGAAAGCAAATACACTTTGTTTCCATAAGTATTGCATTTCATATAGTTTTTCATTTTTTAGTTTACATATTAATATCTGATGTAAAATATACCACAAGATATATACCCTAAATATACCACAATATCGTGCAAAAATATTTTTATAACATAAATATATTCCCATATATTAACGTACATAACGTTATTAATACTATTTCTATATAAAACTTTTATTTATATTTCTCTTTTATTTCATATTAATTATTATTTTTGGAGAACAATATTAAAGCAAAAATAAAAACTGAAAATATGTATCGAAAATACCATTAAATGAAAACAAAAAATAAATTAAATGTAA